GATGAGTCTAGTTTCTCTATTTTCAGGGATTTTGTTAGGGCCTTAGAAGTGGTTGAAGGTCATGCTGTTGGACACCCTTTCATTTGGTCCAACAATAGAAAAGGTCAATATTTTATTGAGGAGCAATTTGATAGATTCTTCTTTTCCCCTGACTGGTTCTTGCAATTCCCCAATTCAGTGGTGAAGCATATTACTCTTATTTCATCTGATCATTGCATGCTCATCATGGATTGCTTGCCTAATTTATTGAATGTTAAGAAGAGATTTGTTTTTGATGCTAATTGGATTCATATGGAGAACTTTCAAGAGGTGGTTGCTGAGGCTTGGAATAAGCCTGTGTCTGGTTATGCTCTTTTCAGTATACAAGAGAGACTTAGAAATGTGAGAATGCACCTTCTTAACTGGCAAAGATCTCACAAATCTAATGCTAAACTGGCCATTGAAAAGTGTAAAAACAAACTGAACCACCTTAGAACTCTAGGGGGTGATAGAGACTGGGGGGATTGGATTCATCATAAGAATGAGTTGCATATGGCTTATAAGTTTGAGGAAAATTTTTGGAGACAGAAATCTAGGGTTAATTGGCTGCAAGGGGGGGATAGAAATTCTAAATACTCCATGCATGTGTTAACCAGAGAAGAAAGGTGAATAGGCTAGATGGGATTGTTAAAAGTAATGGGTCTCCCTGTGTGAATACTCAGGAGACTCTTACAGAACTGTTTGTTTACTTTGAGGATATTTTCAAATCTGCAAACCCTCTAGATAACTTATGCTCGCTGGATGGTATCCCTTGTTCTATTACTGAGGAACTTAATGCTGAGTTAGTGAAAAAAGTGGAAGATAAAGAAATTAAGAATGCTTTGTTTGAGATGGCTAAAGATAAGGCACCTGGGGTGGATGGTTTTACTGTGTTATTTTTTCAAAATGCATGGCCTACCATTAAATATCATGTGTGTTTAGCTGTTGATAATTTTTTTGCCAAGGGTCAAATGCCTAAGGGATTGAACCATACTGTGATCACTTTGATTCCTAAGAAGAAAAACCCTGTTAGAGTGGCTGACTTTAGGCCTATTAGTTTGTGTTCTGTTGTTTATAGGCTCATTGCTAAAATTTTGGCTAATAGGCTTAAACCTGTGCTTCCTCTTTGCATATCTAAATCTCAATCTGCTTTTGTGCAAGGTAGGCAAATTGTTGATAATGTGATAATAGCTAATGAATGCATCCATTTCATTAATAGCAAAAGAAAGGGTAGAGTAAGTTACATGGCTGTGAAACTTGACATGTCAAAGGCATATGATAGGGTGGAATGGGGATTCATTGCTAGAGTTTGTAGGAAAATGGGATTCTGCCATACTTTCATTTCCTGGATTCTTGCCTGTGTGGGTACTGCTTCTTACTCTTTTAATATGGATGGGATTCCTTTGGGTTATATTCAACCTTCTAGAGGTTTGAGACAAGGAGACCCTCTATCTCCTTATCTGTTTATAATGGTGTCTGAAGCTTTCTCTTCTTTGATCAATCAAGCTTCCTTTTCTGGGCAGTTTCAAGGTATTAAGATTGGTCCTCATGCTCCTTGCATTTCCCATCTGTTGTTTGCTGATGATTCCATGTTGTTTTGTAGAGCAGATATCCAGCATGTTAATATTCTTACCTCAATCCTGTCTAAATATGGGCATGACTCAGGGCAGTTAGTTAATTTCTCTAAATCCTCTACTTTCTTCTCCAAAAACACCAATGAGGAATCTTGTGTGGCCATTTGCAATGCCTTTTCTGGGATTTCAAGAGTTTATTCTTCCAAATATCTAGGGATGCCCCTAGGTATTGGTAGAAACAAGAGAGAGACTTTCAGCTTTTTGTGTGAGTGTGTTCAAAATAGAGTCAAAAATTGGAAAAACAAATTTTTAAGTGAGAGTGGTAAAGAGACATTGATTAAAGCTGTTCTTAATGCTCTACCTACATATATTATGTCTTGCTTTAAAGTGCCTGTTACCATTGTGAAGAAGTTGTGTTAGGAGATATCTGATTTTTGGTGGGGTCATAATGACAAGGGGGGAATATAATTCATTGGGTGGGGTGGGATAAGTTAGTGAGGGAGAAGGATAAGGGTGGGCTTGGGTTTAAAGGTCTTACTGCCTTTAGTGATGCCTTGTTGGTTAAGCAACTGTGGAGGTTCATTACACAGCCAAACCTTCTAGTTAGTAAGGTAATTAGAGGTAGATACTGTTGGCAGGATAGCTTATTTGAGGTGGCTCCAAAATCTCAGGATTCATGGCTCTGGAGGAGCCTGCTGAGTGTCAGGAAATATTTGCTGCTGGGGGCTAGATTTAGGGTGGGGGATGGGTCAAATATATCCATTTGGGATTCTCCCTGGTTACCTACTGCTCATCCTTTTAAACCAAATTGTCAATTTGCTGATGACAGGGAGAGATTGACCAGAGTGAAGGATTTAATGAGAGTGGGTAAAAGAGAGTGGGATTATGACCTTATTTTTCAAACTTTTGACCCTGTGACTGCAGATATTATTACCAAAATTCCTCTATCTATCTCTAGTGGGCATGATAAACTCATTTGGCATGGTCACTCAAAGGGCATATTTTCAGTGAAAGAAGCTTACAAGGCAATTATGGAGGTGAAAACCAAGGATCTTGGAGAGGCCAGTACAAGTAGAGATCCAGGACTCATAGCTAAAATGTGGAGGACTACTTGGCACTTGAAGATCAAATCCAAGATCAAAAACTTTCTATGGAGATGTTGGCATGGCTACCTAAGCACAAATGACCAACTTTTGAAGAGAGGTATGCATGTTGATTCTGTCTGTTCCATTTGTGGTGCTCATGGGGAGGACTTGGATCATATATTTTTCAACTGCACAAGAGCTAGAAACTGTTGGAGATTGAGTGGCATTGAATGGTGGTCTCATCAGACAGATTTCATAATGTTTGAAAATTGGTGGATGCATATATGTTGTGCTAAAAATCTGACTTTAAAGGAAGATAGGTTGGGCTTCTATGCTTGTTTGCTGTGGCAGTTGTGGAAGGCCAGAAATAAGTGGAGGTACAAAGGGGATTGGATACATGACAATTTAATTGTGAAGGGGGCTCATGCTGAGTGGATGGAATGGCAAACAGTCACAACTGAGGGGGGGTATTACCAATGGAGCACAATTACCAAATCAACTTCACACAGATAATTTTTCCCGGGGAGTAGGTCAGTCATTTATGACTCTCAGTGCTTTAGTATCTGTGAATGGAGAGGTTCAGGTGAAAGCTTCTTTACATCAGAAGGACTTTATCAGATTTCAATGGCAGGATACTTTTCAAGGAACATCACAGGATGAAGAGGGGTGGAGGAAGGCTGTATTTTGGGGTTTACTCAAAGCTAAAGATAACAATTGCAGCAATTTCTATCTCTTACTTCCTTCTGTAGCAATTGTGGAGGAGATTTCTGAGAGTATGCATAGACAGGAGAAGAGTTCCTCTCAGCTTGATGCCATTAGGGAACTGATTTTACATTGTAATATTAGGATTGGTACTATCTTTTAAATTTCTGTTGCTCAGACTTAATGGCTTGTTGCCTGTTAAGGGTTATGGTTTTTACCTGGCCCGTGCCTCTTATTTCTACTACTTGTAGTTCTTGGATGGCTGTGATCAGTTGGTCACCGATGTACTCTTTTTATGAGTTTTAATGCATTTGATTTTTGTCGTTGGAAAAAAAAAAAATATAGAGGTAAACTTAAAAGGAGTTAATTTACTTTGTCAAGATTGATTTACCAATTGCCTTTATAGATTATGTATTGACAATATATCCATTGTTGATTTTAATAATAATATAATAATTATTGAATAATTGTATTTGTATTTTTAGGTGACTCAATCTATAAATCATTATGATAACGTAATATGATTTATATTCCAATAGGCAAAAACTACTTTTGCAAATAATCACTTGGACTCAAAAAAGGCAAAAGCTACTTTTGCAAATAATGAGAGCTTAAGTATTTGATTGAAAAGAATTGGAACATATAATGTAAATCAAAAATTGTTAGATATTAATTTTGTGAAAAAAAATATATCAAATTGCAATTTTAGTCTTTTATATTTTCAAAATTAACAAATAGTCCTCCATGAACAACGATTTTAAAAATCATCTCGTGCGTACATAACAAGGTTGCGATTTCATCACCGACCTGCCATAAGACATGAAAGTCGCTGTAAAAGCACACGTATCAACCTAGGTGGCTGAAAATGCTAAAATAAAATAAAATAAAAAATACATACATTCAAGGTTAAATTAACAACGAAGTAACACTCAAAACTTGAAATTAATAACTGATTATTGTATCTTATAAAGAGAGAGGAGTAAAGCAAGAGTTCACACGACAATTTTGGACAATTGAGGTGTCGGGAAATTAAAATTTTTCTTTAAAAAAAATGCTAGAAAATTGTAAAGAAAGCAATTATATTTGATCTCGAATTAACAACAAATATGAACTTGAGACTTTTTTTTTTCAGCAATAAAGATAAAATTCATTGAACTCAAAGTAAGTACACGGGCTAACCAAATGGTTAAAGCCTAAAGGACACTTGCTCTCTTACAAGATTAAACTGAGAACAAGCTAGAGGAAAGTACTATGCTTCCTGCAAGGCCCTTTCATCCAAAACCATAACAGCAACATCAACATGCTTAATACAAGAAAAAGACACAGATTCAAAATTGGACAACAAATGGTTAATATCATCAAGTACAATCGAACCAGATAAACCATGTCTAGGTGATTTGGCAAGTTGAGACAAAAGGGTTTTATCTGGTACCAAGCAGCAAACATGGGAGCAATTGAGAGACAACATCATTTGCAGACCCCATCTCACAGCCCATAAATTTGCTTCCTACTGTTCACCACTGAAAGATATGCTAGTTGCCCAATCTTTGATTATCTCCTTCTCTTGCCAAGCTCTGCAACCCAAGCCAAGATTCCCACATGAAGAGATGCAGGCACTAACAGCAAATGAATGATGTCCTACCTGTGAAAGGAAATTCTCTTCCCTAATCCCCCTCAAACCATCAGTATCCACAACCAGTTCCTTGTTAAATGAGGAGCTTTCTATAAACTCAAGCAAGCAGATGTAACCCCAGTTGCAATAGTCCTTGTATCTTTCCAATCCTTACTGAAGAGCCAAGAGCATCTCGTCTTCTAGAGCCACCACAATAAGTAAACAGAAAGGCTCATGTTGTCTTCCATAACTTGATCTGTCCTGGCATTGCAAAGATCTTGCCACCAAACTTGGAATTTGCAATCAGAGAGTTGGCAAGCAGTCCGTTGAACACCTATCAGCTTCCAGCATGTCTTTGCTCTTGTGCAATGAAAGAAAATATGATCCAAGTCTTCAGCATAATTCCCACTAACATGGCATGTAGTGTCAATATCCATTCCTCTTTTGGCTAACTGGTCACTGGTACTGAGATACCCGAACCAACATCTCCACATAAACCGCTTTAACTTCTATTGAATAGGTAGTTTCCAGGTCACCTGCCACATCTTCTGATATCTACCTCCTGAGGAGCTGGCTTTGTCTATGATAGAACACGCTTCTTTCTTTGCCATGATGTGGTTGTATGCTGAACTGATAGTGAATCTTCCATCTTAAGTCTCAGTCAAATGAGTTTGTCTTGCAAGTCAACCTGATTAACGAAGGAAAATTATACACCATGAAAAGAGGAACAAAACAATAGTTCATCCATCAATTTTAGATAATCGATTTGTCCTGAGTTGTGCGTTGAAGGTTCTTTGCCACTAACGAGATTGAAAAAAATGTTGAAAAATTCAACGTCAGTTGTCCAAGATTGATGAGTGAACTATTATTTGTTTCTCTTTTCATGAGTTACAATAAGACTTGAACGAATTATTGGGAATCTACAAAATAAACAAAAAAAAATAAAATTAGGAAGACCGCCCCACCTTGGAACGAGCCAAGTCGCGGGCTCGACCTGCTGGACCCGTCGCTGGGTCACGAGACAAGGTGGGTCCATGGATAGTGTGTGGGCTAGGTCCGGGTCCGTAACTACTCAGCCCGACCTGACCATTGTCATCCTTACCTGAAATATTCATAACTAAAATTGTAATTCGCTCAAAAGAAAATTTGGGGTGTATTTGATACAATTTTAAGACTAACTAAATTGACATCATAGTCCAAATTTGTGAGCATTTTTATGACACCCCATTCAAATTAACTTGTCAGCTGGTAAATTTGAGAGAAGCAAACGAATGCTTAAGGAGACCTTTGATACTTCATCGTGTTTGCAAAACCCTAAGCCCCAAAATTGAGGAGCGAGAAGATGGCGCTCTACAGAGCTCGCATTTGTTCCTCTCCTCTCCTCCGCTCAATTCTTCGCGTCCCCACTCGCTCTCTCTCATCTGGTAATCGATATTTCCCCATGTGCGTGTGCGTGTAACTTTATGCTATCTCTTACTGTTCCCTTTGCTGCATTGTAAACTCACTTAATCACTTCGTTTATTTGGAATTTAAAGACTTTTTACGATTATATGTTTTTGGTGTTGGTTGAGAAATGTGATTCTTGCCGCCTTTGCTTATTGTTTTCCCAATGCTACTGCAATTTTGATTCTCAGGTTCTGCTTCTGATATGGTTGAGTCTGATCATGGGTCGTCATGGAAATCATCCATGATGAATCAGATGTTCACACTCGACATAAGCTCTCAAATAGGGAGCTGTATGCCTCTGGCGAATATGAGGATCGGGACCCAGATTCACAACATCGAGCTTCGACCAGGACAGGGTGGGAAACTCGTACGTGCTGCAGGGACATCGGCGAAGATACTTACAGAGCCCAATAGGTCTACCAGGTAGTAACGTAAAATGTATTGAGCACGTATACACACACACACGCAAGAAACTGTCATTAGGTTCTTATAAGATGTTATGAATATGAACAGACCGAATCATGAAAAACAATGAACAATGGGTTATGTGTAGCTGTTAGTATTGACCATGCATTTTTATCATGGAATATCAGGGATACTTGGTCAATGTCATGTTATAATGTGTGTACCTCTATTTAAGGGAGGGATGTATCACCTCAAGGACTTTAGAGTTGAAATTTTTGTAACTTAGAGCATCTCCAATGCTATGGTTTTGCTATGGTTTTGAAAGGCAATAATTTTTAACACATGTCAATTAATGATTGTAATGTTAATCCATATAGGAATAATGTTAAAAGACTAAAAATTTGAATCAAACTAGTATCTCCAATGCATCAATTTGATAAAAATTTATTTGTATAGGTGGACCAATTATAATAATTCATTAATACAAGAATAATACAAAATTAAACCAAATATATAATGAATTAATGAGTCATCATGTTCAACATGGTGATAGATATTAGAAAGTGAGTGTAACATTGTCAACATTAAATGACATCCACATCATCATGAAAGAGCTAATGACAAGATACATTGGAGAATAAATTAGTATCAAACTTTCAAAAATTGATGATATGGATAATTTTTTGCAATGTCAAAAGTCACATTGGAGATGCTCTTATAAAACTGCCAAACTTTGGCCTAGCTTTTAGGTTGAATTAGCTGTTTGTAGTTGAGTGCAACTACACTCAACATGTGTGGTCCTTAGGAAAGTTTAGAGGAGATGTTGATTATGAATGTTTTAAGATGGGGGTGCACCATTGAGTTGTCTTCACTGTATATATCACTTCATGGTTGATTGGTTTATTTACATAGGCATTGAAGGTTACACAATATGGTAATAGTTTTAAAAATGGCTTCCGTGTATCCATTTAGCTTTGTGTTTTGCAAGAATATCAAATTTCAGGATGTGCTATGTCCAAGATAAGTTGTGTTCAGTCCTGTAAATTCAGAACGAAAAGAAGGCAGTAATAGACCTGGAAGCATAATCTTAAGTTGATCTGGAACAATATGCCATTGCCATTGTTCTTTTGATGCACTTTTCTTGTTGGTATAACACCACATGCATGGACAACTTAAACTTGAGTTCATGGAAAGTTGTTACAGGACAAGGCTGTCCTTTGAAATTGTACCTAACATGAATATACTAGTAGTCCTTTCACTGCTCCTTGGACGTTGCATTTGAGGTTTGCTGCATGCTGTTTAATATTACTTGGAATTATTCCAAATGTTAAAAAAGGTCATACCTTTTAAATGCATTGAAATAGATGAGTGCAAAGAATCGCCTTAATTACATTCTGTCCCGCTTGTACTTTTTTTTCAGATATATAATTTTTAGTTTTTATCCATCTTGTGATCATTTCTAGGTACTGCGAGATAAAACTGCCATCTGGGGTCAAGAAACTGATAGACACAAGGTGTCGAGCGACAATCGGGATGGTATCAAATCCAGAACATGGAACAAAAAAGCTAAGAAAGGCTGGGCAAAGCAGATGGTTGGGAAGGAGGCCGGTTGTGAGAGGTGTGGCTATGAACCCAGTTGATCATCCGCATGGTGGTGGTGAAGGAAGGAGTAAGAGTAGTGGTAGTCATGGCCGAGTCTCACTCACGCCTTGGGGAAAGCCAACCAAGTGCGGGTACAAAACTGCTCGCCCTAAGAGAAAGATTTAACTTAAGTTGTATTCTCTTGAAGAAAAAGGGTTTTTCTGCCTTCTTGCTGATTTTGTTTTACTGTCTGATGTTGTGTTTCCTTTATCTCGGTTTCAAGCAAATGGAGGGAAAATATTGTGCTGTTGTCGGTTTGAGGTTTAATATTGTTCTGAAAATAGAGAATCGGTCGTGTGAACTACTTGTTTAGGTGAGTAGCTTTCATTTCGTTCTCAACTTTGTTTTTGCAACGAAGTGGAAGCGTTATAAATTTCTTTTCATAAGAAACCATATGAACTGGGGCATTATGCACACTCTTGTAATTTGCAACTCAAGTGTCAAATAACTAGTTTTAAATTGATTTGGTACTCGAGCTATAGTCGTATTTATGGTATATTCTTGCAAGTGTAAAAAAGCTAGTTTTAAACTGATTAGGTATTCATGCTATAGTCGTATTTATGGTATGAGAAACTGATGACAAAATCAATTAAATGTTGGCAGTTTACAAATTAGTAGTAGCTGAATTTAAAGTTGAGAAGCCATAAGATTTGGGGTATATTTGATACCATTTTAAGACTAACTAAATTACTAAATTGACATCATAGTCCAAATTTGTGAACATTCTTATTTGACACCCCACTCAAATTAACTTGTGGGCTGGTAAATTTCAGGAAGCAAACGAAAGCTTAAGGAGACCTTTGATACTTCATCGTGTTTGCAAAGCAAAACCCTAAGCCCTGACATTGAAGAGCAAGAAAATGACGCTCAACAGAGCTCACATTTGTTTCTCCTTCTCCACTCAATTCGTCTCCCTCAATCAAGTCTCCAATGCCACAAGTCCACGGGTTAAAAGCGAAAACTCAGAAAATGCAACCCTCAAGCCAAGTTTTAGACATTAGAAAACATAGAAGTACTTCCCACATTATTAGCCCATCTGGATGTGCTCTACATAAACTATCTTGGGGACACCAAAAATGGGACCGCACACAAAGCCCAGAAATCGAACCCATCACACCTCCAACCAATAGATATTTCACATCAAAATAAAGGGCACAAACTGTCAACGAGTAAATAACAAGATACAGCCGAGAATATTAAGATCACGTTCGGCCTACATACTGCTTTATTTTAACCCACGAATGTTCCCAAATAAAACAAAAAAGCAGATATAATGAGAACTCCATAATCTGACAATCCTCCGTCACAGTCAACACTCAGATATATATCCAAAATGGATTCAAAATACTCAACACCCCCATCCTTGAGATTGCAAATCTACATAGTATCCTCCACGAAATTAACCGCAAGATCCCAATAATGACCAACACCGTGATCAGAAAAGTATTTACGGGCAGCCGCCTCAGTCCTGCACTCCTGGACCAAAAATCTATTGAAATTCCGTTTGGCCACACTCCCCTGCCACACAAGAACACACTTATTCAAAGGTTTCTCATCATCATCATCATCATCCTCACCGTCATTTTCATCCTCACCCTTCTTAACAGCAGAAGCCCAATCAATCCTTCGAAGAATAAGCTTCCCGTACCTCTTAATCGATTTGGCCCCACCCTCAACAACCACCAAGCTAATCCCTTGTGAAATCACCGCACATCCGGTCAGCCTGTTCTCCTGGGCATTGATATCAACCTTGAAACGTGTCTGGGGGTGAGAGAGGTCATTTACCTTGTAAACAGAGACAATCGTTTCTAATACAGCATTCGAGTCGTCAAACAACTTTCTCTCCTTCTTTTCACGGCGCTCGCCTGGAGTCAGCTTGCGGGCCACGTTCCTGTCGATGTGGGCCCGCTCGCGCTCGGCTGCAGCGCTTCTTATCTCCATCTCGAGCCGAGTGGGGTCCTGGGTGGCCTCAGAGCCGAGGACTTTCATGAGGTTGCTCATCTTGACTTTGGGCTTCGGGGGCTCGAGCACGCCTAGCCTGATCATCTCCTGTCGTTCTTTCTCCCTGGCCAGCCTACGCTGAGTGCGAAGTTTCTTCTGCTCCTTTTTGGTTAGCTTCAGGGGTTGCGGTGGAGGGGGTGCTGCCTCGGCAGGGGGCTCGATCGGCCGAGGGTGTTCAACGTAGATCGTGATCTTGTCCGTCTTGATATTTTCTTTGTCTATGTCACCATCGACCACGTCTCCATACGTGCCAGAATGTAGAAAAGTCACATCCCTGCGCAGTCGTGGAAATAGATGATTATACTGATATGAAAAGAAACCATTGGAAAAAAGAACTTTAAAACTAACGTAACAAGGTATTGAACAATTTGACTTCTTGTGCAAGCTAAAATGCCAAAATGATAACAAAGGGAGAGAAATTAACTTAAGTAGTTAAGCTAGTTGTGTGACCGCATTTCTGATAAAAAGTTCATATGCTTTCATCTAATCAATGAGTTGTCTATAGATCATAAAAAATTGATGAAAATGCGAACTGCTAACAAAGACTTAGTAATTAAAACAAGTAGAAATGAATAGATTATTTACCACCACTCCACATCAGGAATAGGTTCCCGTTGTTTTTCTTTGGTAATCACCCTCTCTCCTACTTCAATCAGATTTGGGTTTATATCAGGTTCAGCCTTGGCCTTGGCCAGCTGCGCTTGTTTTGCCTTTAGCTCTTTTGCTTTTGCCTCCCCAAATTGAGACTTTCAAAGACAAAGTTTATAAGCATTAGTTCAGGGGCAAAGTAAGCATGTACAAAGGTCATCTACAAGAACTGATGATAATTACCTTCAATTTAATAATTTCAGCCTCTTTCGACCACTTGCCTTCCTCAACAAACTGAAAAGTCATCTTCTTAGGCCTCAACAGTTTAGTTTTATCAATTCCCATCCTAGAATCGAAATGAGGATTTTTATCGGGATCCACATCAAGTTCAGGCTTGAGAATTTGAAAGGCTTCTTTCTTTTGCTTGTTAATATTCACCTATGGGATAACCCACATTCAAGTCAGTATGTGATACATCATATACAAGCTTTTAGTTAGTTTCTTTATCAGTAACTCATACAAAACAAATCAGGTAATTTTGATATACCTTGAGAGTACTCAAGCTGTTTACTTTTGGAACATTCACCACATTGCCGTGCTCATCCACTTCCCTGCCCAATGCATCCAGACGAAGAACAGGTGCTTTCGAAGGCTTTGGTTGGATGGTGACCTCTGGGGGCATTTGACCTGGAAACATATTAATGAGAGGAGCAAACTCCGGGTCTTGTCTAAATCCCATCTTGGCAGCTAGCTCCTGTGCACGTTTTACAGCTTCATATTTTTGTGGAGTGAGTCCAGGAAGATTAGGCAAACCACTCTGTGGAGGAGTTATTGTACTTGACGTGCCAATTGGTAAAGTTGAAGCACTTGAAGCAACTGCAGAAGGAACCACTGAGGCAGATACTGGAGGAGCAGAAGTCGGCAATATACCTTTATTGGATGAAGCAAACATAGCAGCCTCCTTTTCACCCACTATTGAACTACCACTGCCAGTTGAGGGTGAATCTCTGTTCAACTACAAAAGAAGAAAGGAAAGAAAGTTCTAAAGGAACAAAGTCGAGTAAATAAATATAAAACTTGCATAAGGTTCTCTCTTGATTGGGAATTTAGAATCAATGGAATGCTCATATTTAAATGCTTGATGAAGAATAATTGAGACAGACACGTAATACACATACCGCAGGAATCTTCTTCATTCTTAGTGCAAGCTCCTTCTGCATTTGTAAGGCTTTCTTAGCTTTTGCTAAAGCATCAAGGGACAAACCCCCACTCTTTCCGACATGAGTAGCTGACCCATCTGTACTGGATTTCCCAGGAACCTCATAAGATCTGTTCATAATAACTCCCTTATTTTCATTTGTCTTGGTAATTGAATATACCTTAGTAGCAGGAGAAAAGCTTCGATCTGGAGAAGTCTCAAATGAAGTGTTAGAGTATGTTGTGATTGGCCCAGTTGCAGCACCCTGCAAGCAGAGTATAGCCATATGTGTCAGAACCCAGTCAATTACACACTATATCATGATACAGTTTCAAAGTTAGAGATGTAGCTTCTACAGCATGTAAATAAACCTATAAACTTTAAGTAATGGGATAAATCTTTTACACTAGTTACCAAATATAAAGGTACAACAACAACAACAACAACAACATACCCAGTATATTCCCAACAAGTTGGGGTCTGGGGGGTCAGTTGTACGCAGACCTTACCCTTGTAATTATACAAGGAGGCTGTTTCCGTAGCGACCCAAGGTGCATTGCGCCGTTTGATTTTTTTTTTTTTTCTAGAAACTTCACTAATAGAAGAAGCACTAGAATTTAATTGAGCCATTTTGATCTAGTCCATTATTAGCACTATGCCAGGAGAATTGTCAACAATGACTCTTCCAGCTCCATTTGCAATGGACAAATTACCAAATATAAAGGTATTGTACAAAAAAAAAAAATACATAGTGGTATGGCCAAACAACTGCACTCAGAAAGACTGATTATAGAGGGAAAGGAAACATAAAATTATGGCATGGCAAGGAATTCTATGCAATGCATGAACCAATGAGTATGCACTTCTGGCTACGTTTTATACATCAGTATGCAAAAGCACGTGACTGCCATGGTACTGATATTTCAAGTTGACTGCAACTCACAAAGTCAAGTTCATTTCTGATTATATGTTTTTTTTCATACTCAAGAGAAACCAAATAAAATTCTCGCACCATTTTTACAAATAAAAAATGAAAAATTAGTTAACCTTTTACTGAAATTAGAGACTTCCATAACATGTACATGACGGATTTTGGAAAGCCTAACATCACAGGGTCCATTTCTACTTCTCCAATGATCAACATCAAACAATTCTAACCACGTGGCAATGGCTACAAATAATACAAGAACTACTTAATTTTCCTTATTTCTATATTCAACATGGTCTTCCTACAATAAAGGTGTAGAAATGGTGTACAATACAAATCTTGAGAAAAAACTATCATTTTGGAATAATAAAAGAAATATGAGGAATAACCTCACAACCATCTATCAATTTTGATTATTAAGCAGAACACACAAACACCCGTAGTAAAAGCGTCGATCAACAAGTTATATATCAAATACCAGACAGCTATAGCACGACAAACAAGATATAGATGACTACCAAGGCAAACAGAAAAACTACAGACAATGCCAAGAGAATAAAATAAAATCAATTCTATCATGCTTAGCATTGTTAATTCAACACCTCTCTTCCAATCCTATGTGAAATGAATCACAAATGCACAAAACAGATCAAAACGAATTCTATGTGAATATGAAATTTGAGTCACTCAGAATCATCAACCCAACAATAGAAACCAAAAAAATTTCTAACTGCCAATGGTATCTGCTGAGGCTGTAAATTATCCAACAAAACAGAAGTAGCGAAGAAAACACGAATAGCACTCACATTGGCAACAGAACCAAGCTGGCCACGATTCCCACTGTTATTGTGCTCATCAGTTACATCTTTCTTTACAGATTTCCCACCATGTCCCGGTCCCTCACCTTTTTCCCCCTTCTTATCATCTTCAAATCTGCGCTTCTCCTTTCCATTGTCCTCATAAACCCTAGTTCTCTTATCGCTTCTCTCCTCACTCTCCCCCCTCTCTTTCCTCTTTTTCCTCTCAACGGAAGGAGACCTCTCGCGCTCTCGGCGGGCATATCGATCCTTGCTTCCCTCTCGTTCGGTTCTGGAATCCGACCGACGGCGATGATGGAGTTCGTCAGATCTGCGGCGGTCTTCGTCATGCTTGGAGCGGTTATGTTGGTCTTTGGGCATCTCTATATCGCGATGTGAGTCGGGATCTCTTCGTTTACGGCTCGAGCTCTCCTTGTCCATGGCTCGGACAGGGTTTCTCTTTTCCTGAAGCTGATTCGTATTTGAGGAGATGACCCTGCATCAAATTAACAAATCCTTTCCATTGAAAATGAGTTTTTATTTATTTAATTAATTTAATTTATTGGTGATTTAAAATTTGTAAAATTAATCTATATTTATATGTAATTATAGGTAAATTACTGAGTGCAAATTAATTTTAAATTATTCTATATCTATATATAATTATAAACAAATTATTGATTGCAATACTTTTTAGTAGGACTAATAGTAGTAGTAGTGGTAATAGTAGTCAGGTAGCAGTGGTGACACCGGTATGGTAAGGGTAATGGCAAGCCACAGCGGCAACAAATGGAGTAGTCGTAGTAGTAATAGCAGCAGGCGACGATAGCAGCAGCGGTGGAGACAGCAGCAACAACAATAGTACTAGCAATTTATTTCGTAAATATAGTGATGCTATGCGATTTATATTTATATATTGTTCGTCTTTACTAATTGTTAATTTTAAAATGTGATAGACTCATTATATAACTTATAACTTTTAATATTATCTACATATATATAATGTATAATATTTTATTTTCTTAGAATAGTATGTGTATTTTTTTTTCAAACGATCGAAAATTATATTACCACTAGCGAACCAAGAACAAAGGTACACATTCTTGCGAGCCCACGACAATTGCACACACGGTTTGATACACCAACCAGTCCCCAAAATTAAAAACACAATGAGAACTTTCTGTCTACGACCTTCAAATCTGAAAACTCCAAACTGGAGTTATATGGCTGGCCAAATATAGCGAGTAGAGGAAATTCAGGCCTAGATATGAGCCCACAAAAAGCTTCAAGCCCGGAGAGAGAACAAAATCGAAATAATCATCCCGTGGCCGCACTGAGGAGTGGCCATCGCCGGCTTGAGCCCGAGCCCAACGCCGCCATCGAAGGTCTTTGACACCGGCTAAACGGGGAGTGGGGAAAGGCCACCCATGTGTGTAGTCTTTAACACTCGTGTGTAGTTTTTCACTAAACACTTTAGCTACCAACAAAGAAAATTATATAAAATTTTGTATTTTTTCCTTTTTTATTTTAGACATATAGTTCTTTAAAAGTAAAAGTTTTATAAATATGCATAAAATTATAAATAATTTATTTATCTTTAGATATATAATTTACCATCTTAATATATTTTTAATATTATAAACAATTGTTACATGAAGTATTTCATAAAGTTAATATGTTTAAGGAATAATAAGAAAATTTCTTTGAATTAATCGAGTGATGAAATAGATTACTCCTCAAGTTGATTAAATTACTTTTAGGTGATATGTAAAATAATTCAACACCATGACACAACTAAAATTGGTCCTTGGTCACGAGTTAGTTTACCCATATCAAATATATTATTGAAACTAAATAGAAACTATAATATCAAAAATACTTTATTACGATAAATATAATATAATCCAAGGTCCAATAATAATTATATGAAAATATTTTTAATGATTTGTAAATATTTATATTATTTTATTAATATTTATGTAAACTAAATGATATTGTATTATAACTTTTATTAATGTAAGATATATTAAAATTTATCAAAATTGGACCATCATCGAGATCAAGCTATTTATTTATATATTTAAATTATAATATAATTGTAAAATTTTTCATATCATTGTAATTTGTAATCATATAAATTAAGGACTTTATTTCATTGTAATTTGTAATCATATAAATTAAGGACTTTATTCCATTGTTTGAAATCGCCGGTACACACACAGTCCGGTAATCTGCACAACAGAAGAAAATCAGCCGACTAGGGCGAGGCTCTGCGTTGTGGAGGGGAAGAGCGTGGCGTTCGAGTTTATGAACTACGAAAATGCCATTTATCTCGAAGATACAGCGGCAGACAGATTACAGTAGTTTCCCGTCATCTCATCCAATTGTAATCGACAATGGTGGCTCCTACTTCCGCATTGGGTAACCCTTAATAAAACCCTAATTTTCTGCGCTATATGTTGGAAATCCTTTTCACCTACGAAGTTTAATACATTTTAGTATTTCTGGGATATGATTTCATAGCTGTCTTGCAGATGGGCTGGGGAAAACGAACCTCGAGTAGTGTTCCGGAACATTATTCAGAGACCTCGTCATAAGATTACTGGTAAATTCAGCCTACAATCGTGATCCTTTGATATATGTATGGCATACATGAAGTAGCCATTTGTGATTGTTTAGCTTCGGTTTTGTTTTGGATCCTTCGCACTTTTCTCGACAAGTGGTTGACATGAAATTTTAGTCTTCTGATATGCTTAATAGTGTCTGTTTGATGAATGGAACTCGTTTTTTTCTGTGGTTTCCTTCCACCACTCCTGTTTTGCGTACTCAAATCATCTACTAAATTGGAATGTTACTTCTGTGTGACCTTTGTGTTTCAACATGCAAATATTTATCAGTGGAATTGACCTCTGACTTGTTGCCGACCCATTATAGGAGCACGAAACAATTGTAAGTATGATGCATAAGATTTTGAAGGACTAGTCTGATTAAACTTGATTGTAATAGCACCGCTCTAAAAGAGTAGTCCTGTCCCTTGGAGTTTATCAATCAGTGCCAATTTGGACTATTGTCATACTTGTCCCGCCATGTGGGCAGAGGTTCTTTTTAGTTTTTAGTAAGTTTTGCTGGAATGCTAATGTTTTGGAATGAGAAACATTTGAATTTTGGGTGTACACAGTGAAATTAAAGTAATATTCTATTGATTTAGTCATATGGGAAAACATAAGTCAGCAGGTTATGGTTTTTGAGTAATGTCATAATTATTAATATAATGATGATTAGAGCCAGTACATTGCTGAAGTTAAGTCTTCTCAAGTGGTTCTTGATTATTGAAAGTTCTTGTGATAAAGTATGAGGAATTTTCTAACAGCGATCATATAAAAAAGCTTAAACTTATTATGACTGGACTGTATATTGAAAGAATTATTTCCACGATTAAATGGTGAAATATTTTATGTTTTGCAAATTTTGTTCGCTTGTAAATCTTTGGGCGCTTAAAAGTCTTATCTGCATGTAATTTTTCCTAAAATCTTATCTGCATTTGATTAGAAGTTCAGTAGAAGTTATACATATTCGAGAATACTTCCCAATGATCTAATTCCTTATTTGCTTTAAGTTTGATGGAGCTATCTTTTCGTAGTCAAATCACAAGATGTCATTTGAGCGCAAGGAATGAAGAACCGTGCTCAGTTAGACATGATTGAATCATACCATCCGTGTTTCTTTCTCATTTTCTTTTCTCTTCTTCTTCCGTTTCTCCTTTGCGACAATGGAGCATTATCATCATGTTGCTATTATTACTTTTGCACTCACTTCTGCACAAGAAAATTTTGACAACTAAGATGTTCTTTCTAGCCGAGGTATTGAGTTGATAATATTTGATATAAATTGACCATGAATATTTGTTTCAGATATGGAGCTAATAGTAGGTTGAATCATTCCAGACTATACTGGGTTTACTGTTTTGTGGGTAGAACATCCGTACTATCATGGCAGTTAAATCATTGTTATAATTGTACTTTAAGGTGGTCAAAGTTGTCATTATATTTTATTTTCATCGTTTATATTAAACGTTGGAAATTTGATGTTGAAAAAGAAACTGACAAATATATGTTTTGTTATCCTTCTCCAGCACGTTGATTGAGCACAAAGTTGCACTGACATCGTTTTCATACCATTTGCATGACTTTTGAACAGGGAATGACTAGCCAATTTCTGCTAAAATTTGGTTTTTATACAGGTGAAACAGTAACGGTTGTAGGGGACCATAATCCTGCTTTACTGAAATACTTCGATTGCACTAGGTCAGGACCTCGCTCTGCTTTCGACGGCAATGTTGTCTATCAGTTTGAAATAATGGAATATGTAAGGATGACTCACATATTCCAATTATGTATTTCTTCATTTTACTTGTCTTAGTTAGTATTTATGTCATTCTTCTATTCTGCCTTTAAAACCTTCTATAAATTTCATTGTCTTCTTTGGGACATTTGTAGGATTTCATGTGATTGTGCTCGTGAAATTTTCCTTCGTTTTGCTTCATATCATTGAAATCTTCCGTACTATGCATTTGAATCATCACATTTGGTTGTGTACAAATGCTTTGCATCATATTTAAGGAGCATCAAGATTAGAATGTCCTTTTTATCGTCAGTTCCTTCTGGCCAAATTACGCAGTGCATAATTCTCGAACAAAGCAAACTCAAAACTGTCAAGTTAAATGGAAAAATAGATCAACAATCTATTTTTTGCCCTATTTCCGGGAAATATTTTATACTTCTATTGTTCGTGTGACCACCTATTTCCCAATGTCATTCTTACCAACAATAAAGTGAACTGCCCCCTTGTTTACAAATATGATCTGACGAAATGACTGGCATGATTGGAGTTCGCAATAGTTCATTACAAGTGTCTCCTACGCCTCCGTTCTATCTTTGCAGTATATTTGTGTACCGTTAATTTGACACAACCTAAAATTGGCATATGTTTCATGTTTTCCTAATTTGAGTTCAGCTTACACATTTTTATTTTGCTCTGTAGCTTTATTTTCTGGCTTTAAAATTAAACGGGAACTCTGAATTTAGTTTGTTTGTTTTACTTACTTTTTCTTTTTGATGCACAATTAGATTCTTGACTTCGGGTTTGATCGATTGGGTGCAGATCAGTCACAGGTACATCTTCATCTAGTTGTTGATTGTGCAAAAAGACAAAGGCAAGGGTTGGGGATTATGTTAGGAAGGGTAATTTGTGTTGAGGGGCGTACTTGTGTTTGATTGATTGTAGTTGCATTAGTGTATTGACTATGATTGTATTTTCTTAACAATCAAGCATCTGCATCCCACACTTGGGTTGCCAAGTTGTCATGCTTTTATAGTTTCTCAGTATGCCCATCTGTTATGGTGTTGCTGAATGTTTGATAGCCACCCCTGGTATATATTTTGATATTAATTATTTCAAATATCACATAATCCTAATCTACATGCCATTCAGTGATAAACTGCATTAGAGAATTATTGGAAAACCAATTAT